GACGCGACTACCGCGAATACGAGAACTACGAGGAAAACGGGTCGGAGTTAAGACCTATTTACGTTTAATAAGAAAGCTATCGTCTTAGGCGAAAGTATCCGTAGTCGCTTATCCGTGTAACGATTCGGTAGTAAGCGGTAATATAAGCTAACGCTATTACTTAGGATAATACTAACGAAATAACTCCTTTATTTCTTCGCGGAAAGCGATAGTTTAGAATAATATAATTAAAAGAGTAATTTACGATAAAGGAAGCTCGGAACTTATTACCTTAGAATTAAGGTCGGTTATTTAAGCGGCGATAAGCCGTTAAGTAAGACGTATAACGTAAGGATAATTATAATTAATTAGCTTTCGACGAAACCTTATATAGCTTTAAGGGATACTTATAAAGCTACGTAAAAATAACTACGCGAATAACGTAAATAACGATTAATAAAAGCTAAAGATTAGAAATACTTTCCCGTCGAACGATATTATATAGCGTTATTAATATACCGATAATAAGGAATATCGTTACGCGGGCCGTACTCCTCGGTAATAACGGGAAATAACGAGGTTATATTATTACTAGCTCGGGTAGCTCGATCGCCTCCTCTAAACGTAAGCGATGGTTTGGTAATTTCCTAAGAGCTAAATCGTATTAGAAGCTCTCGAGGAGCGCGAATAATAAGGATAAAGCTTAGCTCGGTTAATTAACGGATAGTAATAAAAGTAACGATAGGAGCCGTTTCGAATTTAAGAGAGCTACCTTTACTAAAAGCTTACTTTTTAAACGCGAATATAAAAAAAGGAACCGAGCTAGGAATAAGAATAGAAACGGCGGTAACGCTAACGCGATAGCGCTCCTTTAAACTCGGTATAGTATCGTTAACGATAAACGAGCGACTATTAGGCTATCCGTAACTTAGAAAAGAAAAGGGGCCGCCGGCTTTCGTTAAGCGAATAAGCGTCGGCGCGACGGCGGTAATAATAATAAGGGAATTATTCTTTCCGCCCCGAGCTTCCGTAAGAATACTTAATATATATAACGACGGTTTAATAAGTACTCGATATTCGCCGATAGTTTCCTTAGGAGTTATTAATACGGCGGCGGCTTAAGCTCTCGAAATAAAAGCGATTATTAGCTCCTATTCGGTTATAATAATAAGCGCTTAACGGGATCCCGGGGTAGCTTAAATAACTACCTTTAAATTACTTCCGGAATCGCCTTTTATAAAGTTATCCGTAATTTCTACGTCCCGAGGTATAAATTCGGAAATATTATTATTATTATTTAATTCTATAGCCCCGTACTTACGAATAACGCGACGGACTTCCTCTCGCTCTAGATCTTTACGTACTTATTCCCGTTTAATATAACGGGTTCGTTATTTACGGGCCTTACCTTTAAAGTTATTATCCTTACGAGTCCGCTTACGAGATACGGCCTTAGGTTTTAATATAACGGAAAGGGCTCTAAAGAGCGAAGGAATACGGCGGGTTATACGACGCTCGAGGAAGCGTAGTTTTATAATATTTTATATTATAACTAAACCTCGGTCGGAAATCTAAAGTAGATAGTTAATTAAAGGTTTATAATTTATAATAACTATAATATAAGAATTAATTTATATATCGGTAAATAAATTACTTTTCCTTATCGCGGTATATAAAGAGATTATTAATACCGGTACTAAAAGGGAAACTACCTATAATAATTACCGAGATATATATATTAACCGCGATATCGCGGGTAAAGTTATTTAAGCGAACGATAATAACGTCGAGGAATATATTACGTCGCTCTTTAGCGGCGCTAGAAATAATAACTAAAGTAATTTTAACGGCCGCGGGAATATTTAAAATAACGGTAGCTTTTTTTACTACGGTAGATTAAGTAACTAGCTTTACGTATTCGGCCGGACCTTAATCGGATATAGCGGGGCTTTAAGTTCGCTTTTCGACGAATATTTAAACGTAGTTACGGAATTAGTTTATTTTATCGCTTAGTATCTTAACCGCGTTATCGATGCTAGTAAGAATTTCGTAGGAGTTAAAACGGTCGGATATTTTATCGAACTATTAGCTTTTAATTATTTATATCCGTATTAATATTATTAAAGCGTAAGCTTATCTTATTCCTCGCGCCTATTATATTAATATATAGCTTACGTTAATATATTATCATAAGCTCGCTACGATAGCGAGCGATAGTAAGGAAGTACCGTAATTAAAAAATAACTTACTTAAATAAAATACGCGCGGATAAAGTAATATATGGATTATATACGTAACCGAAAGCGATAAGGAATTAAAAAGAAGCGTATCGGATTAGCTCTAGGTATGCCTTTATAGAAGAAAAGAGAAGAGGGAGAGAGCTACTACGAAAAAGTAAGAGATTTTTCTCTTATAGTATAGGAGCTTAAGTATAGGGAAAAGCGTTACCGGGTATTAACCTAATAAAGCTACGAGAGGGTTCGCGTACGATAATAATAATATAAAGCGAAGTAATAAAAGCCCGCGCGAACGTATAATAAATACGGTAGATATATTTAATTAAGAGTTACGATATATTTCTTTTGTTAGGATATTAAGAAGAGTTAATATAATAACTAATTAAAAGGATACTTTAAGTTATTAGGAGTATTAAATGGAGGCGTAAGTAATTAAAGCGACGAATATATTACCCCGGAAAGCTAATAAGGCGAGTAAGGCTCGAGTTAACCTAGGACTTTAATTAAAAGGATAGCTAAGCTAACTATCGCGAGCCTTTCGGCTAAGTTATTATTATTATTTAGCTAAGCTTGCTATCGCGAGCCTAGCTAGGGGGTATATTATATAAAGAGCTACTTATATATAGCTCCCTATTCCTTCTCGAGTTACTCGCTTACCTAATATAGCTCCTAGCTCGCTTATATAATATAGCTCGTAGCTCCTTATCGTTTATATATAGGTAGCTCGCATCTCCTTTATTAATCTCCTTCCTTCTTAGATAGTTAGTTAATTTACCTTCTTCTTCCTACCTTCCGTTACTCCTAAGAAGCAACCTTAGTACCTACGTAGCTCTCCTAATCTACGTATCACTTATTAAATAGCTTCTTCGAAGTATTTAAATTATAATGAAATGCTTAAGCTAGGTAATAAGTATATTTCCGTAATAACCTAAGTAAGTACTTATTTTCCGAAAGGATAAAAAGGCGAGTACATAGCGAAAGGCGGTCGCCTATATAACTAGGAGTAGGGTAAAATGAAATAGTTACCGCTTAGAAGGTACCCTCGTACTAGTATAAGTACCCTCGTACCTTGTACCCTAGTACCTATCGCGTACCTTCCTATCGTTCTCTTATATTATTATACGGCTTTAGTTTATTTTAAGTTATATAACGAGTTAATTAACTTGATAATCTTTAATTTATTATAATTATAAATTTATTTTACTTTTTTATAGGCCTTAAAATATTCTTTTAATATAAGAAATTACTTTATAAAGATCCTTTCATTTAATTTCCTATTAAAATAAACGATAATAAAGTTAATTTAAAAGATATATTATTAATAAATAACAGTTAACGTTATTAGTATTCTTTATGATATTACTCTCGCTGTTATTACTTTAATTTCATTATAATTAATGCTTTTTTTTATATAAATCCTTAAACGTAAATCTGTACTTTTAATTTATCGAAATCTCCGTTAAATAGGAACTTCTTTTTTAATATTTATTTAGCGTCGATAAAATAGCCGGCCTCTGAGACACGGAGCGGAGGGATCGATACAACCGTCGACGGGACTGACACTGGCACCCGAGCGATCAACACCAACGGGCTAAGTTCTCCGGCCGGCCCAGTGCGAAGTATCTACGGAGGGGAGAGGAGAGAGATGGAGTATGACGAAGGGCGGGAGAGGAGCGTCGGATGGAGGATATATTGCCCAGGGGGTAGGTAGGTAAGCTTCTCTCGCCAGGCTAGGCTCGCGCAGGTCGCGTGTCCAACGGACGGCGGAGAGGCTCGGGTCGGCTCGAGACGGGAACCAAGCCAGTCGGTCGGTATGGCGGCAGATCGCAGGTATCGAGAGAGAGAGAGAGGGAAGAAGCCGTGGGGAGTGGGAGAGTTGGCGGGTGGTACGACGGGTTGGGCTGGGACGACAGGGCCCTGTGTATAATGCAGGCGGGACAAGTTGTCGAAGGCGGGAAGGGAATGACACTGAATCTGGGCCGGCGAGGAGTCTGGGACGGGATGAGGGGGTTTTCGGGCCTGTTGTTCAGCGTTCTCGGAGAGATGACGGTGAGAGGAGGCAGGCTGGGGAGAAATTTGCGAGGGCGGGCATCAGCAGTCACGAGAGAGTCGTCGCTTGAGATGATGCAAAAAAACGGACGTGGTCATGGACACGAGTTGCCGGGGGGGGGGGGGGGGGGGTGGAGACGGTTTTTACATTACCATCTCATTTCACGCTGTCTGGAAAGTTGCCGTACACCTACGTACTTTCAGGTACACACCTTGGGTAGCTACGTAGCAGTACCCAACCTTACCTAGAGTCACCCACCTGAAGCTAGGTACTGCAGGTGCCTGTTACAGGTAGGTACGGGTTCTGTACGTACAGGTGGCTAGCGCGTTACCGACCCGCGTGTCCTCGCAGCAGTACCAGACCACGCCTCCGTTACCCACTCGTACGTGAGCCATCACGGGCTACGCCATCCTCTTTTTTTATTATTCTCTTCTTCTCTATTACCGCAGCGAGAGAGAGAGAGAGGAGAGAGAGGGGTAAAAAAGAGAGAGAGAGAGGCAGAGAAGAGACAGAGACAGAGAAAGCCAAGACATACCGTATGTGCGTGTACATGGGAGGTGGGACATTATGTCAGAAAGTGGGTGCATCGTCGGTACTTGGACGTGATGTCCGCCGCGCTGTTCCCCCCTGAGGAGATTACCGTAGGCCACGTGACCTGAAATGCTGCAGAAATATCTACCTACGTAAAAACAAGCATATCGCGGATGGCTTCCCCCGCCTCTTCATCCTCTTCCTCTTCCTCCCAACGCGAGTCTTGCGAAATCACCATCAGATATTAATCATTGTCGTCTTCATTACCTACAGTCTTCACACGGTGCCTATACCTGCCACGTAGTAGTAGTAGTAGTAGTAGTAGTAGTAGTAGTAGTAGTAGTAGTAGTAGTAGTAGTAGTAGTAGTAGTAGTAGTGGTACCTGCTACGTACTCTTGGTATACCTACCTACAGCTAATCCTCCCTTCTCCACGGCTGACTCGCGGTGCTCGCCTGCTGGCATGACTGGTGCGACTCTCTCTGTCTTTCGCCTTCGCATCTCGCCGATGAGGCTCTGGTGGCGATAGCAGCGGACCTCGGGATTCGCGGGTGCTTGCCTGGCAGCGAAGCGAGGGGACGGCTCTGGTTCCGTCGGGTTTCCGCTACTCGGCCATGGTTCCGGCGTCCGTCGATTCGCGAGTCGGTCCTGCGCGCCTCCTTGTTCTGGTAGGTTCTCGCCGCGGAAGAGCATGCGGTGGCGACGCTGTCCGGCAGTAGTATTCCCTACGCAGAGAGCGAGGCAAGGCTGGTGTGGCAACTCGTAAGTGCGATGTGGGTTAGGTAGGCAGGCGACGGGAATCGGGCAGTAAGTAGAATTCTGTTGCTCTCTCTCTCTCTCTCTCTTCCCCCCTTGGTGGCATCGGAGGTGTTGGGCGGCGTTTTTTAGATGCGCCAGCCCTCTAAGGCTGGCATTGCGGCGTTGGCGACCCGGTAGGTCGGCGGGATGTCGACGAATAAGGCTTATTATGTAGGTACCTGTGGCATGCATGTTGTGCGTGGGGTCGGGCCATAAATAGACGAGCAGGTTTAGTCTGCTGCCAGATCCATCCTCCCCATCTCGAAGCTTGTCCCAGCTGGGCTCTCTTGCGCGCCTCTTGTTCCGTCCCTGACCTCTCTCCCTTCTGGCCTGCTTTACGTAGGCGCCTAGGTGAGCGTCCAACTAGCGGGATTGCCATACCTAGGGACCACCATATCGCCCCGGCGTCATTTCCGACGATGCCTCCCCCCTCTGTATGAGTACTGTATCCTATACGCTGTCAAGAGCATCTATCGGATTCTGAGGGTTGTTTCATCCGGATCTAATTTCGCAGCATAGCCAATCAAGCTTTGCGGGTATCGAAACGACTGTTCTCCGACACGAAATCCTCCCTGCTGGCCGGGGACTTGCGTAGGTTACTACCTAGTATGGGTCAGGCCGGCCAACCCAAGCTCTACTAGCTCAGCCGTGTATGTGCCCACGTAGGCCACACGGGGATGGATGGATATCAGCTGCCCCAAGCGGTCTACCGTGGAGATCCTTAATTGTTCCTGATCCGGGCTGGGGACGCCGAGGCGACGACGACGGTGTTTCTGAGCGGTGGGGGCTTTGTCGGGTAAATTAACCCACGCGTGTCGAAGTGGGCGGCACACTTGAAGTTAGGTACCTGGTAGGTTACCTGTAGACAAAGCCCGCGATGCCGATTTGTCTACGGCTTGACCTGTTCAGCTGCCATCGTAAGTACCTAAGGTACCTTGGGTAAGTTACATGTCTCCTTTCCAGCTGGGCAGTTATTCCAGTTATTCCCATACCTAAAGATGCCTAAGGTACAGGTAAGTACCTAAGGTACCTGAAGTTATCTGGTAGGCGGGCTAATGGCGAGCAGATACCCAAAAGTTGGACAAATACCAGGTACCTCCTCCGGGCGGTACCCAAAACATGGGTAGGGATTGATCGCCCGAGACAACGCATTGCTGATCCCTTCTACCTTCCCCATACTCCGGGGATGGGTATACCTGCCGTTGCATGTACCTAATGTACACACCTATGTACGTACCACGTGTGGGCATGTATACAAGCATGCTGACCCGGGTAGGGAGATACACGTCAGGAACCGAGCGCGTATCTGTAGGTACCTTGGATAGGTACCTCACATACGTGCCTCATCTAAGAATCTCTCTTACCTGTTCGGAAGCAGGCACGCTAAGTCGGATGTTTAAGCCAATACATACCTACCTACCTAGGTACCTCTATATTCGGACCTGAGATTAGATACAATACCTACAGGTCGGGCATATTAACGGGCAGTACTTTCACATACCTACGTGTACAGGTAGGAGGTGGTATGCGAGAGGTAACAGGCAGGGCTGGAAGTGTACCCTTAGGTACCTAGTGATAGATGCCTACATGCCTACATTTGGGTGTAAATGTATAGGTACCTACCTACCTCATACTATGCGTATTTGTATTGGTATGCGTATTGGTATGTAGGTGTACTACCTACGTATGTACAGCCGCCGACGGACCGCATAACCTGCCTCTCGTGCCGTCGATTTGCATCAATGCGCGCGGCTTTTCTCCCCTCGCCTCTCCTCGCGGAGGAATCCCGCCCGCCTACAGCATTTTGCCGGTTGGCGTCCTCCTCCTCCTCCTCCTCCTCCTCCTCGTCGCCCACGACGGCTATGGCGAGGGTGGCTTGTCCTTAGGATCCGACCCCGTTGGCTCTGCCGTCTGCTGCCGCCGCTACGTGCGAGCTGGTTGGCCGGGGCTGGAGGTAGCAGGGCGCTGCAACGGCCAGTCCTCTGGGACAAAGGCCGACTACCCCGTGATCCTAGAGGATCATTTGAATTGCTCGGGTTATTCATAGCAGCATGGCGACAGCAGCAGCAGCAGCAGCAGCAACACCGGCAGCACAGCACCAACAACAACCCGACCGGCTCGCCCGGCACCGGTAGGCTATACACACCTAACATACACCTGTATCCTCCACCCAACGGCAGGCGATGCTGCTGCTGCGCCCGTGTGGACACGTCTGTATCGGTAGCAAGCAATGCTCTGCTCTGTTACCAGCGATGCCAACCCAGTCCGTACAACATGGCTGAGGCAGGTTGGCGGCAGCCGTCCCGGCTTCCGGATGGGCTCGCCGTCGCTTCAAATATCTGCTTTGCTTGCTGGCACGCAACCTGGATCGGCAGGGATTGCCGACATCGTGCCGACACCTCTCTCTAATTCTATATTGGTGTCCCGAGTTGGCGGCGAGGCAGTGAGTGCACATGCCAACACATCTATGAGTACAACGCCCTATCGTAGACGGGTGAGCCGTGTTAAATATATCTCCGGGGACAAACAACTGGATGTATCATCTGCAATGCAGGTATGTGTACGCTCGATAGATCCGTAACCCTAGTCTGCTCTCTTTCTTTCTTTTTTTTTCTCTTCTCCCCTTCTCCCCTGGCTAGCGTAGCCTGGGGTTGGCATGGACCTACGTAAGCAGAGACAGAGAACCGGCGTGACGAGAAGAGGAGTAAAAAGAGAGAGAGAGAGAGAGAGAGAGAGAGAAAAGAGAGAGCATGTATGATACATGTGTGTGTGTTGTGTGTGTATGTACTCCAGACGTCGTATGCCCTGCCGACCCTCCTCCTACCGATATAGCAAAGGTGCGGCGATGGAACCCCCAGGGCCTGGTGGATCGTCGCGGCGCTCCAGGGGCTTGACGTTTGACTTGGCACAGCTTGGCGCCTCTGTTGGTTCTCGTCCAACCGTCTCCCCAACTAGGAAGAGGGATTCTTCGGCCGCCGTCTGGAATCCCCATCCTCTGCAAAACGCAGCCTCTTGCGCGTTGCCCACCCGGCCCTGGCTCGTAGCAAGCTTGTCTGTCCCCCAGGCCCTGCAGAGCCCGCCGGCGTCGTACTGTACTGTACGGGAGGGCAGGGCAAAGTGGCCTGGTAGCATCTTCGCGTAGCATTCCCCTCCGCCATCGCTTCTTCTTCGAGTTCCTGTTGCCGACGGGGGTGTCGCTGGCCAACCCCCATGCGTGCGTTAAGGGGCTGATCGTGACCAGGGCATACCTCATGGCGGCTCGCATTGCTCCTCGCTCCTCGCTCTGGTCGAGGCAGTTCCGCCGTCTTCCTTAAAAAGATAGACCCCCCTCTTCTCTGTCGTCCCCTTTCTCTTGCACCATCTCGTTTTTTCTGAGCAGCCCTTCTCACATTGTTATATTCTTTCTTCGCCGGGTAGAAGTCCACGTTCTTTGAGAAGCCCTGGGTTTATATTTTATAGGGTACGCTGCCAAATCGGAAAACAAAGGTGCACATAGGGGTTACCCGGCCGACCTCGATCCCACACTCTCTCTCCCCTAGGTCACTTTCTGCTCGCTCGCCTACTTACCCTCCTCGCCTGTGACAGACAACTCAGTTCCAGTCCTTCCCTTTCTCATCATCACTTTCTTCTCTTTCGTTCGACCTCACCGGATCTGAGATTCGTTGGGTCTGCCTCAATTCTTCTCTTCGTCTTTCGATCGTACATACCGTTCTCTTCGACTCACTCGTTCGTAATCTACCATCCTTGAGTTACTCTTGGCTTGTCTGGCACAAGGTCTGGAAAACTCTTAATCAACATGGCACCAACTCTGAAGACTGTCTTCACTGCCCTTGTGGCCCTCACCCCCTTCGGCATCAACGCCAGCCCGCTCAATACCTGGCGTCCTTCTGCCGAGGCCGGCACATCTGTTGGAGTTTTCGTTAGCAACCCTGACGCTACCGATGTGGTTCCCAACTCGTACATCGTCGTCTACAACAAAAATTTCACGGATGACGACATCAACACCTACGAGGCAGCGGTTAAGGTAGCCGTTAAGAAGCGTAACCTGGGTAAGCGTGGGCTCCACGGACAATTGCTCTCCACCAGGGTCCGCAGCTTTTCCATGTCGGGATGGCGAGCTATGGCTTTGGATTCGGACGACCTCATGATGAACGACATCAACAACGCCGAGATGGTCAAGTACATCGAGGCCAACACCTATGTCAAGGCCTCGGCTCTGATGTCCCAGATTAACGCTCCCGATGGCCTGGTCCGTCTGAGCCACGCGCAGACCAACGGGACCGGTTACGTGTTTGACGACTCGGCTGGCGAGGGCATTACTGCCTACATTGTCGACACCGGTATCAGGGTCACGCACGAGGACTTCCAGGGACGTGCTACGATGGGCTTTAACGCTGTCGAAGAGGAAGAGGTATGCGGCCCACAGCCCACAGCCCCCAGCCCACCCTTCCCCCTTCTCACTATGTGCTCGATACCATGTACTGACATGATTGCCAAATAGGCTACCGACTTGAATGGACACGGCTCTCACGTTGCAGGAACTGTTGGTGGTGCTACGTTCGGAGTGGCCAAGAACGTGAAGCTTGTCGGCGTCAAGGTCCTCGATGCCCAAGGCGGTGGCACCAACGCTGACGTTATTGACGGTCTCAACTTTGTTGCTCAGGATGCTGTGAAGGGCAAGTCTGTTATGAACATGTCCCTCGGCGGCCCAGCTTCTCGAGCTGTCAACGACGCTATCGAACGCCTCTTCTCTAACGGAGTTGTACCTGTCGTCGCGGCTGGAAACGAGGCTCAGAATGCCGCCAATGTATCCCCCGCAAGCAGCCCCAACGCCATCACGGTCGGCGCCATCGACCAACTGACGGACAGACGCGCAAGCTTCAGCAACTTCGGCCGCGTTATCGATATCTACGCCCCTGGCGTCAACGTCGAGAGCGTGGGCATCAGCAGCGATACCGCGAGCGAGACCCTGAGTGGCACTTCGATGGGTACGTAACCTGGCGGCGGCAGCGAAGCCAAGCCTCCCCCTTTCACAAGAGCCCAGCTAACACGAAGGGTACAGCGTCGCCCCACATTGCCGGCTTGGCAGCCTACCTCATGGCCCTCGAGGGCATCACTGACGCTGGTGCCGTCTCGGACCGCATCAAGGAGCTCGGCGCGGCTACCGGCGCCAGTGTGCGACGGAACGTTCGCGGCACCACCAGCGCTATTGCCAACAACGGAAACCTATAAGGGGACCGAGGGCAGAGACTCGACACATACCGTCGCTTCATTGACAAGTGTGTAAATAGGGAGAGAGGCGCGCACACACTTACACACGCACGCACTTGCACAGAGAGACACAGCACCGCCCGGGCCCTACACATGCCATCGGCCCTGGGGATGATGTTGTAACCAGCAGTAGCTCTCCAATGTTCTTTCACGACGAGTCGTCGGATATAGCGAATACAGCGATGAAAAAAAAACCCCCGCCTTTAGTGGTCTCGGGAACGAGAGGCCCGCCATCCCTCTCTTTTTTCTCGAGACCCCATTACTCTCTCCCCTACTAGCGCATATCCCTCCCCTTTACCGAGACCTTTGGGGCATTCCTCTGGTCTTTTTTTTTTCTTTTTCATTCGCGTTCTCGGGTATAGATGGGCGTCGCACGCGTTATAGGGACGACGAGAGCATGAACGGTGCGAGAGGAGGGCCACACACTTGGCCACGCACGAATCGGGTTTACACTGCGGTTGAGCGGGTGAGCGGACGACTCCGGCGGTTTGCCGGGCCGGACTTGATGTATATTTTGGAGGTGTAAGTACCTAGGTATCTTAGGTATCTTGCCCAGTACATAAACACAAACCTGTTATTCTTCTGTCTTCGGCTGTGCCTGCCTCTGTTCAAACGTTCGCGTCTGGGAAAGGCAGCCACGTCGTCTATTCCGAGCGTGGTATCTCCCCGCCCCACCTGTTTCGCCAGGCAGGTACCGTGCTCGCGGAGTGTACCTGCATGAGGTCGTCGGTGGATACGAGTATCTAGGCAGGTACCTAGATACCTGGTACACCAGGAGGTAGGTACTTTGGGAGGTGAATCCTACCTAGGTACCTTTCTCATTGGCACGTATTATGCGTGTACGTACGTACCTAGATACCCAGGTACCTAATCAGGTAGGTACCTTGCAGCGATCGATGTCATATATATCTGAGACCTGTTTACGTGCGACGCAGGGTGGGTTCCCTACCTAGCCTATGCGCACTGTATTACGTGGTACGCTGCTCACGATGAGGTAGCGCGCTACGTACCTCTCATCTCCGTCTCGTTTAATGCATCAGGCATAACCCCCTGCCGCCTCCTCCGCCTCCTCCTCTCTTTTCTTCGGTACGCGCGTCGCGGCTTACAAGGGGAAGAGGTTATTTATATGCACGCGTACATGCTCACTATACACATATGTAGGTACATACGTGCATATGTACATACATACATACATACATACATACATACACCCACATGCATGTATCCCGTGTGTATGCGCATCTTCGAGAAGCGGTACATCGATCGGATTAGCGAAGCCACCCGTGGGCATCGAATTCGCGCCCGTCCCTCGTGTCTAATTTACTACTCATACTTAGACCCTCGTCGCACTAACGCCGGCCACCTGGTCAGGGTCCCCCCCCTCTCTCTCTCTATCTCTCTCTCTCTCCTCTTTTATCTATGAGCACTTGCGAGTAGGGGGCCAGTTCCCCATCATCTCGGTTAGGATGCCCGCGTCCGTGGCGCGAGTCCGTCTCGTGGGAAAAAGCTGCCTGCGTAATGTCAACAACCATGATTTGGGGAGCTGAGCACAGCCAGTCTCGTCTACACAGCCCCGTCTACACAGTCCCGTCTACACACGGTCCCATCTGCAAACGTACGCCCCAAGCAGAGTTGCGGCGCTCCGTGCACGTCTCGTCGCCGTCATGGCCGAGGCCTGCCCGTCCTCGAACCAGACCCTCGTCAGCTTACGCAATGCGAGCTGGTTGAGACGACGCTGTGGGGCCGAGACGCCGCAACCTCGAGGCCTGACGCTCGACGGTGAAACGGGGCTTGCCTCGCGTGCTGTAGCACGCATTGTCGGGTTTCGTCGCTTTCCCTCTACGCTCCCTACTACGCTGAGCCCTGGCACTGCCTACGGAGAGGTGCTAGGCAAGAATACAGATTGAAATAAGCACCTAGGCTTGGCCAGCTTTCGTATCGACTTAATCTCAGAGCTTGGTTACCGACTAGATTGAAATCCTTTTCTTCAAGAAGGGAAAAAATAGAACTAAGACCGTTCGCATCTCGTTATAGGTTTGACATCGTGACCTCGAATCGAACCTGTACTAGTTCAAGGTATGGGAGGGCCAGGTTCATGTAGATGAACCTCTTAACCCCCCAGCCCCCTCCCTTCAACGTTTGTTGGCGATCCACGACCAAGCCTCTCATCCGTGTGTCGATCAAATTCGAAGCTTCTCGTGTGCCTGCGGGCCGCCTTGGGCTCGGTACTACTCGCCATGTCTTGTTCCATCTCAGCACTTCTCGGCACAACCGCAGTCATGGTAAGGGACTGGACTGTAATTTGACATCCGTGCTTCTTGTTGCTTCACACCACCCGCCGACAGGATCGGGAAACGTACAAGAGCCATCCCACCCATTTCGACATTAGTTTGTATTATTAGCTATGATTATAGGCGTCAAGGGTGCCCCCCCTCCCCCCGTTCGCATCTCGTAAAATCGTGGTAATACCTCACCTATATCGTGCGACAACATAACCGGTGAGCCTTTCGACAGCGGAAGAACCGCCGCTGACGCTGCCCGCTCGAGGCGCAGAGCCCTCCGCGCCATGCAAATATAAAATCCCACATATTCCTTCATTATAACTCCTCGTGCGGTAGGGGCGTCGAAGTCGAGACCGCTTCGGTAGCCTGCTTGAGGCTAGACGCGGCCGCCTTGTCGAAGATAACGTCGAATCTCGCTCCCATAAACCAGGCTAGACCGAACTGTTCGAAATGCGTCAGTTTGCCTTCCCCGTGGGTTCGGGGTTTTCTCGAGCGGCCAACGTACCATCATAGCAGAAACAAACAAGAGGGCGAGCACCACGGCTCCGATCAGCATCAAGGCCTCCCAGAAATCGCTCTGAGGGGCCTCCTTCCCCTGGGCATCTTGGACGGCCTTTAGCTTCTTCACGTCTTGCGTAGGGAAGAGGGTCTCGATGAATTGCTCGATCTGTTTGGACTTTTGTCAGCATCTTCCCACTGCTCCCTCCCTCCGTCTCTCTCCCTCTCTCCCCACACATAATAGGTACATGATTCCTTACCTTGCCACAAGCCACGCTGATCTCGAGAAAGTGAGGGTCTCGTGGATCGTTCTTCTTCGCTATCCTCCTTGCATATGTCTTAAACACTTCGCACGCCACCTGCAGGTTCTGCGTCGACTGCATCATCAGGTGGCAGGCGTCGCCCTTGGTGATCTTGATATGGCTGTGGAAGATTTTGGGATTCTGGAAGACGAGCTCGAGACTCGCAATCGCCATGGTTTGCGGGATGGCGACGAAGTTGAAAACGCTCTGCTCCTTGATCCCGGCCATGTAGAACAAGCACTCGTCGGCGTGCTTGAGGGCGTTGAGGACCATCTCGGAGCTGCAGTAGACGGCCTGGGTGCGGTACTTGGGGTCGAACATGTCCTCCCACCGGTCGACATACTTGCTCCAGATATCCTTGGGCCAGAACCTTCGGTTGTCCTGGAAGTCCTCGTGGACGTCGCGGATGATGTTCGTCTTTTGCAGGAACTGGCCCATGCTCTCCGTCAGCTCCATGCGGTCCAGGAGCGCGGGGTTGGCCGTGTTGCCCTCGACGAAGATCCGCGTCAGGCCCTCGCCCACCAGGCCCGCAACATAGTGGCAATACTCCTCGTACTGGGCCACCGTCTGGACGCCTTCCTGGAACTCGGCATTCAGGACGTAGTCGGCCATGCCGTTGCCCATCTTGATGGTGATGTCCTCGATGATATCGTAATATCTCTTGTCGATCTTCTTGAGCTCGGCGATCACGTCGTCAAAGTGCACGAGGAGATCACGGTCCTTCTCGTTGGGGCCGCTCTCCGTGAAAGTCCAGCCGTCCTTGCTCATGTACTTGGAGAACTCACGCAGCAAGGGCTCTTTCGTCTCGACGGATAGCGTCATGTCATCTTCGATGGTATCGAGCCCTCGGAGGACCAGGTAGAAGAGGGCGATCGGCACGAGCATCTGGGGTTGCAGCTCCTGGATGACGGCTGCAAAGCTACGGCTCGTCAGGTTAAGCAACTCGAAGCACGACCGCAGGGTAGGCGCCTCTTTGGAGGGATCCCGCCTGTAAACCGGCTCATGCCAGGCCTTCCTACGACGCGAAGCTCACAGTCAGCCACGAGATATCGCCACGTCATGTCACGTCACGTCACGTCAGGCCGTTCTGCGTACCATTGTATGATGGACCGAAGCTGGTTCGGGTGAAAGGTGTAGTAGAGCACGTTCTTGAGGCCCCCCATGGTCGCGGCTGGGTATGTACGTAGGGATGCTGATGTCCAAGAAAGCGACGACTTTGGGGTGGGCTCCGGGCAGCGAAGAGGGGGAGACGCAAGCGGATATGGGGAGGGGGATGAAGAAAGCCCGGGGCGTGGTGGTGCGGGAGTGGATCGGGATTATGTAGGTAGATGGATATTAGCGACTCTGTCCTCCGGGCGTACGGGCGAGATCCCGGCTAGACGGCGGTTGAAAGAGGCGGCGAGGATTGACGGAAGGGGAAAGGAGAAGAGACTATCGAGGCTGGGGAGGACAGGTCAGGTCAGGTTGGCATGGCGGGCTGCAGAGGACGATGGGCGTACGTCGGGCGGTTAGGCCAGAGGACACGACACGGGAAGAAATGTCGTGGTGTTTTTTTTTTTGTGTGTGTATGCGAAAATCCCAGGTGGACGAGGAGGATTCGCCAAAGGGAAGGCGCATTCCCACCTGGTTCCGAGCTTGGAACGCTACATAGACAAGACACTTGTCGGCCAATGGCGAGCAGCCGTAAGCACAGTGCGGTTGCACAGTGAGAAGGCAATTCGACCTGGAGTTCCTGGCTTGTGGCGCTGCCGAAAGAGCTGCATAAGGTAACTCCTAAGACATAACGTACCGAAGACTAGCCAGGTACCTGGTTTAGCGTACCTACACCGCAAGTTGGTGGTGAGAGGGAACCGGTGAGGCCGGGTATCTGACGTACATACGTAGGTTAGGGTACCTATCCCGACCGGCGCCTCCTACGTACCTACTTTGGCCTACAGGTAAGGCAGGTAGCACACCGAGTAATATCTGCACACCGGACACCTGTCTATATGTAAGCCGGGTGACCTGCCTGTAGGTTAGGTACCTACGCCTACCTTACGTTACGTACCTAGGTACGTCCTGGTACCTCCTACGTAATGCCTGTGTATGTTTCTGGAAGCTGTGTGGGCTGCACAGGAGGTTTAGTCCGGCCGACAGGGGAGGGAGGAGGTAGGTAGTCAGGTACCTGTCTGTACCACGACGGTGTGCCGGATATCCATCGCGAGGAAGAGGCTACCTATCTCCTAGGTACCTCCTACGTAGACCGCAGATTCGCATAGCCGGTATAATGCATCTTCCCGACCTTAGGCACCTCTCTTCTGACTGCGGGGGCCAAGCAGACGACGCCCCGACTGCGAGACTCTGCAAAGCGTAAAGCAGACTGAACACCGACGACGCCATCCTCCAGGCCAGCAAGAGGACAGATAGATAGCATTCCGCGGCTTTGCTACCTTCCAGTTCGTCGCCCCCAGACCAAGAGACAGCAGCACCCGCGACGAGTCCGGTGGTGGCGAGTGGCTGATGCGCCGGGCTTCTTCCTCTCCCCGTTTGCGCCAATCAAGTCTTTCCACCTACGATCGGACGCTACTTATATATATATACTCAATATATACAAGCATATAAATAAATATAGATAGATAAATTAGTATACCTGCAAATAGAGGCATTCATATATATATATATATATATACACACCTGTTATCTATTCCCGTTGTCGTCAGCGAACGTCCTCGAGATATACCAACCAACCAAGCCCTTCCCGGCTCGAGCAGCAGCAATACATAATATACCACGCAGTATTGCCGATCGCCCCGGGACCGGTTCCCGTGCATCTTGTATACGTTAAGCTACCACACCAAGACCATCTCGCCCCCTCCGGTGCTGGTGGAATTGGAATTGGCAAATAGAGAGCACCGAAAGAGCCAAGTTGCATCCCCAATTGGGACCACCTCACTTACATAACCGGGAGAGGGTTAATCCCTTATTCTGGTCCCCTACCTGGTTCACCCCTGGCCGCCTCTACGTCTTTATTTTGACATGGACCATCTCAACCTCTCCTCCCCCTTTCGATTCCGGTAAGAAAAGAGTGCTCCCTCCCCTTCCCTTCCCCTTCCCTCTTATTTCATCTCTCTCTCTCTCTCTCTCTCTCTCTCTCTTACTCCCCTCCCCGTCTCTGCCTTCTTTCCGCCTCCCCCCCGTGCCTCCCCTCATCTCTTCGTACCTCTCGCCTCTCAAGAGCGAAAAATATCAGCTTCCGCGTAAAACGCATCTACCTATCTCGCTTCCGACTAGAACCCCCCTTTCGTAAGGAACCATCAGGTTTTCTCATGCCCGTCATGGCAGCTGGTGGCGCCGCCGAGGCAACCCGATTCCTGATCTGGGGAGGCAACGGCTGGGTTGCCGGCCATCTCGAGTCCATTCTCAGGGGCCAGGGCAAGGAGGTCTATTCGACAACTGTTCGTATGGAGGACCGTGAGGCGGTCAAGGCCGAGCTGGATAGGGTCAAGCCCTCCCACGTCCTCAACTGCGCCGGCTGCACTGGCCGTCCCAATGTTGACTGGTGTGAGGATCACAAAGAGAAGACGATACGGTCAAATGTTATTGGCACCTTGAACCTGGCGGACTGCTGCTACCTTGCCGGCATCCACTGCACCGTCTTTGCCACCGGGTGCATCTACCACTACGACGACGACCACCCCATCGGCGGCCCTGGGTTTAAGGAGACGGACCCAGCCAACTTCACGGGGAGCTTCTATTCGGAGACCAAAGGCCACGTCGAGGAGGTAAGGGACCGCGTTCGGGTGGGAGCGGCCGGGACGAGGCGAGCCAGCTAACGACGGGCCCGCAGGTTATCAAGTATTACACAAATTGCCTGATCCTCCGCCTGCGGATGCCGGTATCAGACGATCTGCATCCGCGCAACTTTGTCACCAAGATCAGCAAGTACGAGCGGGTCGTAGACATCCCAAATAGCAACACGATCCTGACGGATCTCCTGCCGGCATCGATCCTCATGGCCGAGCATAAGGACACCGGGGTCTACAACTTCACCAACCCGGGGGCCATCAGCCACAACGAGGTGCTGGAGCTCTTCCGAGCCATCGTCCGCCCGGGATTCACGTGGAAGAACTTCAGCGTGGAGGAGCAGGCCAAGGTGATCAAGGCCGGCCGGAGCAACTGCCTGCTCGACACGACCAAGCTGGAGAGGAAGTTGAGCGAGTACGGGTACGCGGTGCCGGAGATCCACGAGGCGTACAGGCAGTGTTTTGAGAGGATGAAAGTAGCAGGGGTCAAATAAGGTTGAAAGGGGGAGGGGGAGAGGACAGGGGGGTGCCGAGATTCCAATTCTGCTTGATGACGACGGCGTAGTCGGACATATTCGTGGCATGATGATTATTATGAAGATACACGGTACTCGAGGCAAGGCAGCCTGCCCCGGTATATGCATGTATACGTATCATACGTGTCGCAGTAATAGAATGTAAAATACCTACCTACCTAACCTACTTGCGTTTAAGCTATATAATAAGTACCTAAGGTGTATAATTTATAAGTAATGGTGACTTAAGTATATTATGAGAAGTGAATAAGGAATAACTAGTTTGTCAATAATTAATAAAATAATACTTTATCTTATACTTGTTTCTTGGTATACCAAGTATTGAAAAGCATACGGGACTAATTTACCAACATTTTCCGCAGAAGATAGAGGTACCTAATGCAGCTACGTCATCTTCTAGTACAGTATACCACCCAAGCCACCCCCGATACCTCTGGTGCGTCGGATCCTTCCCCGTATCAGATGTACCTACTGTAAAGCTCTCCCGTACCAGGTACCTGACTGCCCGTGGCCAGAGCCTTCTCCATCCTTCGAAGCCGATATCCCGACCTCTCAGGTCGTCATAGCTCTTTTTCTCTCTATTTCTCTGGTCCTCCGACAGCATGCACCTACGTAACTTAGGCACCCGATCAACCACCCTCTCTGGTCCGTTTCTCCCTTCTTCATCTTCATCATCTTCATCTTCCTCCTCCTCCTCTACTGCTCGCTTCCAACAGCGGACGCACCTTGTGATATCTTCCCGCCTCTCTGCTGCTTGCCGCACATCCCCCCTTAAGGCAGTCTCCCCCTCCCCTCTGAGAGGGATTTCTCAGTCGCCCCCCTCTCCCTCCCGCCCCCCACGTAATACTTTTCCTCGCGAATTTTTTTCTCTCCGTGTCGCCGTCCGTCCCCTCAGCATCCGTACCGGTCCCGCGACAGGCAAAAGCATGGTCGTCGACACCTCCTACTACGACGCCCTTGGCGTCAAGCCTACGGCGACCGAGCTTGAAATCAAGAAGGCGTACCGCAAACTCGCCATCGTCCACCATCCAGGTTCGTGCGACAAGAGACCCCCGTCGCCTGGCGCGGAACAGGGCGCACGACGCGCGGCTCGAATGCTGACAGGCGCTGCGTAGACAAGAACCCGAATGACCCCACCGCCCACGAAAAATTTCAGGCCATCGGCGAGGCCTACCAAGTGCTCTCCGACACCGACCTAAGAAAAGCATACGACAAATATGGCAAGGACAGTGCCAAGCCCTCCGAGGGCTTCGTCGACCCTGCCGAGTTCTTCAGTAACATATTTGGCGGCGACGCCTTTGTTGACTGGATCGGCGAGATTAGCCTGATGAAGGACCTCACCACAACCATGGATATTACCATGACAGGCGAGGAAAACGACGAGGCCGAATTTCCAGGCACCGAAGAAGCCATCCGTGAGAGTGTTAAGGCCGCCGACACCACGAATGCCACGAATGCCACGAATGCCGCCAGTGCCCCGCCGCCAGCCGTCGTGGTTGAGGACGGGCCCGAGAAACCATCCGCCGAACGCGTGGCCGCCCCGGCGCAGGATACCGGCCGGTCGGAGAAGCCGCCCCTCCCCCCCCGCAGCAGTGCGTCCCCGGCTCCTAGCTCGTCGGGCACCTCGACCCCTTCGAGATATGCCATACCCATCCGCCCCGCGCTAATGGATCGTCCGTCGGATGAGGCGAACCTCACGGCACAGACGGAGGAGGAGAAGGACCTACGCAAGACGGATAAGAAAAAGGGCGGACTGTCAAAGGAGCAGCGCGAGCAGTTGGCAGCCTACGAGAAGGAACGCGCCAGGATCCGACAAGAGCGGGTTGACACGCTCGCGCGTAAGCTTATCGATCGTCTCTCCGTGTGGACCGAGACCGACAAAGGGCTCGATGTCACCAGAGCGTTCCAGGAGAAGACGCGACTGGAAGTCGAAAACCTGAAGATAGAAAGCTTCGGGCTCGACATCTTACACGCCATCGGCGCGGTCTACATGTCGAAAGCCACCGCCCTTCTGAAGTCTCAGAAGTACCTCGGCATTGGCGGGTTCTTTAGCCGCATGAAGGACAAGGGAACCCTCGTCAAGGAGACCTGGAACACGATCTCGTCCGCCATCGATGCTCAGCAAACCATGGAGGAGATGGCGCGCATGGAGCAGGCTGGCGGCGAGGAATGGACGGACGAGAAGAAGATGGAGTACGAACGTAGGGTGACGGGGAAGATCCTTACCGCTGCATGGCGGGGCAGCAAGTTCGAGATCCAGAGTGTATTGCGTGAAGTCTGCGACAGCGTGCTCCTCGACAAGAAGGTGCCCTTGAGCAAGCGCCTGGAACGCGCCCAGGCTCTCGTCCTCATCGCCGACATCCTCCAACAGGTGAGTACCTCTCTCTCGCTTCTATGCATACTCTTTCGTAGTGTATCCGCTCAACATCGAGACGGCGGGACATGACGCACTAACCGCATACTAGGCTCGAAGATCGCCCGAGGAAGAAGGCGACTACATGGCTTTCGAGCAGCTGGTTGCCGAGGCAGCCATCAAGAAGGAGAAGGACTCGAAAAAGAAAGGGAAGGACAAGGACAAGGACGCGAGCAGGCGAGGGGCCGGGACGGCCGAAGCGACCGGCTCATACACGGATGCGCAGAAGGAAAAGTGGTAGCGGAATTATTCTACCTATTGATTTGTACGTTTCACGGAGAATTCGGTGGACACGTTTGGGAGGAACTTCCCGACCCCTCGTTAGGGATCGAGACGGAAGCTGAGAGCGCATGGTAGGGCTTGTTAATACGGTAGGTTCGCGCCTATTGGCGCCTCGGTGGTCGGCACGGCGCAATGTGATAGATATGTCGAGGTGTGGGCGGCTCGTAGAAAGATCAAAGCGAAGTTTGATAGCCGGGGTCGGACTCAGGCTGGTGACCGACGGGCACATTTATAGGCTGTCTTCAAAGGGGGGCGGCAGGGAAGGGAGGCGCACGCGGCTTACCCGACGACGAGCTCTCCGGCGACCTAATACAGGGGAGGAACAACGACTTCACTCGGTAGCGTTCTGGCCCTCGCCGGGCACGTATCCGGAAGAAACTGGGCGGCATGTTGATTTTCCCCGGAATAAAGACGGCACATCTCAGACGCCCACCTACCATCATCACCAGTCTACATACCTACATAGAAAGATAAATAAATACAGACACACACGTCACTTGAGCCAGGTACGCGGGCTCCAGTGCCTTGACAGCCCCCCTCCCCCCTGTCCTTCTTTCTTACCCGTCATACAAATACACGGCGGACGAGGGTAGATCGAAGGAGAAACAAGCGGACGCACTCTCCCCCCCCTTCCCCTTTTCCCTTTCCTTCCCTGGGAGTCAGCGAAATAAAAACCACCCTGGGAGGCTCTCGGACAGGCGAAAAAAAAAGGGGGGGGGGGGGGGGGGGGGGGTCACGGCAGAGAGAGAGAGAGAGAGAGAGCGTGGGCGAGCGAGAGCGTCCGAGCACCACCGCTGCATCGTCTGGTCCTGCAGTGGGGGCGACACGGGCCGCCGCGCGGACGTGGCTTTGATGAGCCCTCGGGGGCGAGCCGACGATGCCGCCTTCGCCTTTCGCCCTCGCGCCAGGGACATCGAGCGCGCCGCAATGACGCGCGCGCTTCTCTGGCCAGCGCCTCGCCAGCCGACACTCCCGTCTCTCTCAAGGCCCAGCGTTACCCCTTTCTTAGTCCAAGTTAGGGCCCTCCCCGACGATGCCAAGATCCTATAGGTACTAAGGCGGATCGCGGTGGCAAGTAAGGGCGAGACAGAGACACGCCGTTCCCCGAGGACTCACAGAGAACAAGTAGCCTATGGGTGCTCTGACAAAAAAAGGTGACGAGTCTCGTATTGATCTATTCTCACGTCGCCATAAAGGCCTCCCCCCCGGTCTGGTTGCCCACTCCCCGGCGCACATGACCTGAAGGTGATTCTCTTGTAGATGCTTATATACATCTTCAAGTCTGGGTGCTACCGGGAGCCCATGCCAACTTCTCCATAGGGTCCCCCCCCCCCAACCAAACCCCTGCTTTGCTTGTTAGGCCTCTTTTTTTTTCTCTTCCTGTTGTCGGGATTCGTCATGTTCCGGGGTATCATTATGAGACTCGAATAAGAAAAAAATCGGATGGCGCCCAGTGGTGTGGAGATGGTCTACCGACTCTGCACGTGTCCTATCTGATTGATGGGTATCCGTTGATGGTACAATTACTATAACAAAAAAAAATATGAGCGATAAAGGATAGCAGATCCCCCATACCCGCGTCCACATCGTGATGTAGTCGTCCGGCCCCGAGGCTGCTGTATGTAACGGCGTTATATGATGTAGTGAATCGTATCCAAATGAAAAAGGGAATGTGCTGGACGAGCGCCGGTTTCGCCGCAGGCTACAGCTGCAGGATTGTGGTTACTTGAATTCTTTTTTCTTCTTCTTGTGTTCAGCCGCCGTCGACACCGAGTTCTATCCCGCTGTCTCTATCCTGAGATCCGATGCCCCAACTTACCGAACTTATACGTTCTTCTAGGCTCTTCTCACCGAGGGTAACTGTGTCGTCGCGAAAGCTGTCTGCAGAAGCGGGTCGCTCGTCCTCCTCGTCCGGCGGGAGTAGTACCCTCCCGCCCAATGGCACGTCGCTGACTCTGACCCGATATTGGAGCGCCCGCTTGCCTTCGTCAATGAGCGCGTCGGTCCAGTCGAGACACCTTCTAATGCTCTGGTTTATCTTCTGCGAATCGACCAGGACCTGCTGATGTTTGGATAAGTCGAGCTGTAGTCGTTGCTCGTCCCGTTTCCGGTGCCTGATATCTCGCTCCGCAATGGCGCTCGGACTGAGCGATTCGGATGCCGAATCGCTGTCGCATGATTCTTCAGCCTCATCCGCCTTTTCTTCTTCCTCTTCTTCCCCCTCCTCATCCTCCGCGGCGGCATCCTCCTCACCAAGATCGCCAAGGTTCGCCGCGGTTATGTCCTGCGGCTCGGGGAGGGCGCCCGCCGATGCCTCACCGGACAGAGGGTTAGATGAGAGGGAGGAGAGGCCGACGAGGGACAAACGCTTGAATCTTCGCAATTCGGCCGTCTGCTTCCGTAGCCGACGCTCCAATGTTCGGTTGATGGCCTCGAGAGACGCGTTCCTGATCTGCAGGTCTTGGACCTTGCGTTCGCGCCTCGCATTTGCAACCAGCTCGCTGACCGGCTCTGCGGAATGAGCAGACCTGGCCGGGCTCTGCACGCCCGATTCGGTTTCCTCCGCAGGTGTAGACGCCTCGTCCTCCGCCTCATTCTCCGCAAAGTCCTCGGCCGCTTGTATGATCGATGCGAGCGTCAGAGGCGGCGCCCGGGAAGGGGAAAGGCTTACGGGGGAGGAAGCTTCCGGAGATGCTGAGAGGGCCACGACAGGACTTATGACGGTAGGAAATGGGTCTACCTTAACTAAACTGGCAGACCGAGAGTGGCGGCTAGGTCGTGGCGCGCCGCTGCTCGACCGGCGAAGTCCGGGAGGGGAAGGCGCCAGTTGAGGGGACAAGATAGGCGGGCGACCCGTGCCCAGGCCGTTGCCGGGCTTCTGTAGGGTTTGCGGGGCCGGGGACAGCGGTTTCGTGGGGGAATTCGGTCTCTGCGAGGAAGGGTGGCCGGCAGCGGGGGGGTTCGTCCCGGGACGGCTTGTGGGCGCTTTAGGGGCGGTAGACACGGTGGATCCCGAGCTACGGGAGACCGGAGGCGGTGGGCTCTGTCGCAGTTCCGGAGTCCCATTGGCGTACATGAATTTGCTGGGGAGATTATCCTGTGAATGGCCCGGGGCCGGCGAGGAGGGAGCTTGGTGAGGAGATTTGTTCTCTGCCGTATTTCCATTGGCGTAGAAGAAAGTTGACGCTTTCGGTAGGGTTGGCCGAGAAGCAGGTGTCGGACGACTGGGCTTCACGTCGCTGGCGTGGAAGAACTTGGACTCGGCGGGGTGAGTCGAGTCCGGCCTCGCATGTAGATTCACATCCGAGTGTATCGACGCAAAAGAAGGGACCGATCTCCTGGCTTGGTCGCCGTCGATCCTCGGGCTCGGCAGGCCAAAGCTCGACCGGGATTCCCAGGCGTCGGACCGATCTACGTTGGGCGTGGTATTCGGGGTGGTGCTGACGCTGTTGACGCGACTCTGTCTCGCGCCCGAGCGAGGGGTGACGGTGCTGCCCAGGTGGTGCGGAAACGAGGAGTCGTCATGGTTGGAATTGGCTATGGTGAGGGCCTGGGGACGGCGGCCGGCGGGCGTCGCCGCGGTGGCTAGAGTGGTCGGCGGCTGCGGGGCCTTGGAGGCTATCTTGGGGGTCAGGGGACTCCGGTTTATGGCCCTCGTGGTGGTGGCGCTGAGGGGTCGCATCTGCGGTCGATTGACATTGGCATGGGCCGACGCGGTGGTGCCGGAATTGGTATGGGCAGGCGAGGGTGCAGAGAGGGATGTGTCGACGGGCATGTTTCCTGCTGCTGGCTCCTTGGGCGATGGTCCTAGGGCGGGTGTAGCATTTTGGTCTCGCAGACGGAAAGGAGACCGCGGGAAGGAGGAGGAGGAGGAGGAGGAGGAGAAGGAGGAAGAGGAGGGCGTGGTTATTATTGTCCTGGTGGTCTTGGCGAGGGAGGAGGCGGAAATGATTGTCGGTCTGGTCCCTGTTCGTGGCCCGGTCGCCGTCCCAGCGGTGATGGCAGTGACTGGGCTCCTCTTCCCGGCGGGCGGTGCTTTGGGGCGGCCGTGCCCGACTGACAGCGACGTGTCGGGGGAGAGCAGCAATCTCGGAGGGCGTCTGTCGGAGCAGGACGGCTGCAGTCGGGCCTGCGATGGCGGCTGGGATTGCGATTGGGGCTGGGGACGAGACAGTGATGGCGGTGGAGGATGCGGTGGGAGCGATGGCGGGTGGGCGGACGAGGTGTGGGAGACGAGGTTCGGGTTGCGCATGGCGGGTGAGTGTCTAAGGGAAAATCCCCTCGTCAGCTTTCTCAGTAGGTACCTACGCAGCGTCAACGCACCACCCGTAGGCCACCAGCCAGAGGGCACACGCCGGGCCGTCAGCACCGCAGCGTACCCAAGGTACGGGCCTGGGCGAGGTGTTACGGGGCAATCCGTGGCTGGGAGAGGTACAGGCCTGGGAGAGGTACGCGCGCGGGCGGGCGAGGGTACGCCCCGGATGCGATCCGTAATGTACCCAGCACCTGCCTACGAAGGTACCCTCTGCACCAGATAGAGGGCGACAGAGTGGGGGCGAGGGCGAGCGAGGGAGAGGCGCCGAGGTACCGCATACATGGGTGAACGTGGGCTGAATGTATGCCGAATGTATGCACCCAACTGGCAACTCGAAGCGGTACACGCCAAGTAGGGGGGGAGGGGGGTTTAGAGGAATGTGTCTCGTACCTATCGGTTCTCAGCGACGCCGCAGAGGCAGAGGCCGGTTACCTAAAGCAGCAGCAGCGGCAGCAGCGGAGCAACGCTAGAAGGGGGGTTGCTATCCAAACGTGGCCGGACGCCCATTGGCCCGTCGTCCCGAGGGGAGGAGCCCTGGAGGTTCGCAGCTTAGCGGGAATTCCCCCGCCGCTCTGATAGAGAGATATATATTTATATCTCGCGAGTATATTTGTATCTCGAGTTTTCCGCGGGCTGACGGCCGTGGTGGCGAGAGGTGTAGATGCGGTCCAGCCTCGAACCAGCCGGCGGAAATGCGTAGTGTGCGTGCGTTGTCGGTAGGCACGCGTGGATGTGCACGAAAGAAAAGACAGGGCGAGAGGGAGGGCGGGAGGGCGGGAGGGCGAGAGAGGGAGAAGAGAGAGAGAGAAGAGAGAGAGAGAGGGAGAGGGAAAAGAGAAGGGAGAGAGAGTCGCGAGCGAACGGGAAGTTCTGCCGGGGCTTAAAGAGTTCGGAAAGGGGAAGGGGGGCGAACAGGGCCAGGCCGGGGCGGGGAGACAGACAGACGGACGGACAGGGGGAGCGCAGACAAGACGAGAAAACATCCAATCCCTCGACCCAAGCGAATAAAATGAGGCCGAAACAATGTTTCCTCCCCACCCGCTCGCTCGCCCTCCTCGCGTGCCGTACAACTGGTACCTACCAGCAACGACACGGAGGTGAGGCGACGAAGACGGCCCCCTTTCAGTATTGTTTATCGCTATCCGCATTATTATCACCATGTCAGTTTCCAAGAGCGCAATTGTCCGCCATATACAAAGCTAGGTAGGCCCCCTAACCCGCCTATGCAACTAAGCTGCATAACCCACCAAAGGAGGCGGAGCAGGATGGCACTCTCAGTCTTAGGTACGTACCCGAGAGTAACGGCCGGCGCCGTCTGCACACCATCATCTCAACCTCTTTCGATGCTACATCGTCCTCGGCCGACACGTCAGATCCCTCCAGAGCCGCGTACGGCACCTCGCTGCCGCCCAGGTTCGGCCCTCCCTAGCCATGGCGCTGCTGGGCCTGTCACTGCTGTTCGCCTCCGCCGTCTACCTCGTTCTCTGGAAGCCGCCTTTGCTGCAGACCTTGCTAGCCCTGTGGCGTGGTGACCCCCGAATCCAGCAGCCCCCTACGACACGTCGCCCTTCACCCTCTTCCCGCAGGGCAGACCCTGACCGCCGGCCGGCTACGGGGGATGCGCATAACCATCTATCGGTGACGGCCCCGACCTCTCTAGATGCGGACCGGCCGACCCTGACGCCGCCACCGCCGTCGTCGCCCAGGGCCGATCTCCTCTCCTCGCCGACAGTAACGCCCAGAGCCGCACCAACCTTGGTACGACTACCCAGCATCTCCAGCATACCCTCGCTCTCGCTCTCAGCAGCCAATCCCTCCGCCGACGAGGGGAGCTCGGCTGCGACCCTGCCCCAGCTCTCCGTTCCTACCCTACCGTCAGACGGACCGTCTCTGGCCCCGGTGACGACAACGTCCATGGCGCCGCCACCACTACCGCCGGCCCGCCGTCCACCCACCCTAAATAGCCTCCCTACCCACGGCTCCTCTCCATCGTCCCCTTCTCTTCTGAGCGTCTCCCCTTCCAGCCGGCCTTCGCCCTTTCCCAGCCGGCAGCAGCCCAACTCCCAAGGCCGCGATCGCCAGTCCGGCTCGTCGACTCTCGCCCCGCCCCCCACGCACTCAACTCGCCCTTCTAAGCCCTCGCGCAAGGTCACCCTCGAGCCGGGACGCTCGCCTCTCGATTGGGCACGCCTCGCCAACCACCCGACCGCCGACCTGCGGGGCCTCGGTCCCGGTGCCCCTTACCTGCGCGTCACCCCCAGCATACTGCGGCGCCAGACCGGCCGCAAGGGCAAGGACGCCTGGACCGTCCTCGGCGGCCGCGTATACAACATCTCCCCCTACCTCCCCTTCCACCCTGGTGGCGAGCCCGAGCTGCTGCGAGCCGCCGGCCGCGACGGGTCCAAGCTGTTTGGCGAGATTCACCCCTGGGTGAACTACGAGACCATGCTCGCCAGTTGTCTGGTCGGACTGTTGGTCGAGGAGCACGAAGCCAAGAGCACCGGGGAAATGGATGCTATGGATTGATCTGACCACGCAGGACCATGAACTGTGAACCCACAGCAAATAATTATCGGATCGTGTATTTAATTAAGAGGGTTTATATAAACTGGGGGACGGCGTGCCTATGTTGGGTTCAGTTTAGGTCGCTGTCATGGCTCATTACGACAGAGCCGGATGCCAGATGGGATACACAGAGAGATAGATACCCCGTCGATAGAGTCCTTCTTCGCTACGGAGGAGGGAAAGTTTTACCAAGGGTGGGAAGGCCTTTCACCTCTTCCCAAACCTAAACCGCAGTTCGTCATCGCTATCATCGTCACTAACGGGCAGAGACAGAACTCGAGGCCTCTTCGCTGTGTGCTCCTCAGTTGGCGGGGCCGCCCGTTTGCTGACCCTCGAAGGCCATGGGTTCTGCGAGGTATTTTGCGTCGCCGTGCGTACTCGTAGCGGCCGTGGTTGGGTGCTCCGTTCGGACAACGCGCTTACCCGTGTGCCTGATAGAGGAGTCGCAATAGAGGCATCGTCGTCAGATCTATTGCTATGCTCGTCGTTACCGCCACCACCTTGGGAGAGGGATCCGGGCTGGTGCGCTGTCTGCCTGCGCATTTCACGTCCGTTCGCGGCACCTCGTCCAGTATCCTCCTGTCCATCCGTGCCCATACTCCAACCCGAACTTTGCCTCTGGGTCTGTCTCCTTCGCTTCTGCCGCTGGCTGTCGTCCTCGAGCCAGTAGTCCTCGCCGATCCCAAAGCCTTTCATCTTAACACTTTCGAGCCCTACGATAATCTTCTGTAGCGGCCGTCCCTGAACCGCCCCCCGCTGATGGAATTTCTTGAAATTCTTGCGGCCGTTCCAAGCGGGATCCCAACGGCCATCCGCTATATCTCGCTCCCGAGTGCGCATTGGCAGCGCCTGTCGTAATTCCATCGGCACTTCGATATGAAGACGGCGGATCTCTGCCAAGTCGAGACCTTCGGGCACCGTAGCGAGTTCTTCCCTCTCGGCCTTTGCTCGAGCCTCGGCTTCTTCTCGGTGCTGTCGCGCCAAGTCGAGAATGTCAATCTCCTTCTTGACCTTGGGGACCTTGATATTAGTGGTTTGTGCCTCCGTGACGGCAGGCGCCAGTGCTGTCGGCTTTTGAGGAACCGGATCTTCACCAGCGGCAATGCGACGACGCTTTACTTTTGTGGCTGTCGGTGCAAAATCGGCCATCGTATCATCGATCTCAGGTGGAGCGGGAGTGCGCCGTTTCCGCTGCCGTTGGGGGCTAGCCGGGATTACTTCCTCTGGCTCTGACGCGACATCTTGTGACACGAAAAGACCTTCTTCCTGCGACGCTTCTGCATTCACCACCGGTGCTATCGAGGCGACCGAAGCATTTGTCGGTGAAGCCTCATGGTCTAAATCAACGCCGAATCCCTTGAAACGGCTCTTGATAGCTCCCCTAAGGCGTCTTTGAGGCGGCGGTCGCGGAGTCCGGATAGACAACTCATTCCCGTCCACGCCTCTGACCTGCTGCCGAGCCAAAGGCTGTGTCTCGGCTGGCGATTCGCGGGTTTCTCTCTCGACTTCCAGAGGTCGCCGTAGGCCGCTACTGTCATTGTTAAGGATAGCATCCAGGAATTCTTTCTGGTCGATCAGTCGATGGTCTAGCCTCAATGAGACCGACGTATAGAAGTTGGTGAACCAGTCGGCAGTTTCAGGGGGGTTGGGAATCCACCGGACCACAACCACGCCCTTGCCTTCGCTCCCATCCTCAAACTCCCCCAAGCCCTTCTCTCCTGCAATCGTCTTCACGTACCTAATAAAGTCGTCAACCTGCGTCTCTCCTTCCGTAACCTCACATAGCAGGGCTTTTCCTCTACCGCTTGTGATGGGCCCTAGGAGGTTATCGTATTGCCTTTTGTTGTAGAATATGAACGTGTAGCCGTGGAATATCTCCATGCGGCCAGGGTTAGGGGCGAAAGCCTCGACAGGCCTCGGCACCGGCTCGTCCCCAGGCGGTGGCAGAAATTGTACAGCATCGGGCCAGTGCGCATCAAAATCGCTCTCCAACGGGCAGGGAGCCACACCGTCGCCATCACCCTCGGGTACGGCCGCGGCGGAAATTATGGCACCAAGGAATTCCTTGGTGACGATATATCGACCATTCACAAGAGCTTGCAAGCCGTTTGGGGTGTTTCTTTTTCTGGATACAGCATGCGTGGTCGATTGGACATCGTAATCGAGGAGAAACTTGACGTCTAACTGCTCGAGGTCTTGCCGAAGCTTAGAGAATGGATCGGCCAGGAGTTCGCTGGCAGTGAAGGAGAAGCTCAATACTACCGGGAACCAAGTGATACTGGGGTGGGTTATTCACAGTTAGCTCCGTGATGCGCAGGGTGGTAGGCCAACGTACTAGAATTTAGAAAGGAACGAGCCCATCTGTATCGTGTTGATATCTCTCGAGAGAACACGTTGGTCGCCCTTGATCTTCTCATCGTTTACCCAAGTTCCGCCCTTGGAGCCGAGGTCTTCGACAGTGACGCGCGAACGACGGGACGTAAGTTCCTGGCAACTCTATATTTGAGCGACGAACAACGCGAGCGGTGGTTAGCTGGCAAGAAAGCATACCCCGTCTCCCTCGGCCACCTTGTTGACCCGGATGGTGAGGTGTTTCCGAGATACTTTTTCCGACCCCTGGCCTTTGATGGCGAGTTGTCCAGCTGGTCTCCCATTAGCTTCGTATTCTCCCGCGTACCCGGGACGGCAAGGATATGATAGAATTGTTCGCATACGTTCGGCAACCGTTCTTCCAAAGAGATACCGCTTTCCCGGCCGTAGCCAAAGTCGTTTACCTAAGGAACCATCTCATCAGCAACCGGGGCGCAGAGTGGGAGGGGAGGGTCACGCTACTCACCATCGAGAGCTTCGCCCTCGTTCTCCAGGAGCCACATGGTTCCTCAAGCAATGACCAGCCGGTTGAAGAGGTTGAAGAAAATAGCATCAAGCCGGAGGGAGATGATAGGGTAGGGTGGTGGATGGGGTGCCTTCGTAGGAAACGAACGGCTGGAGGAATCGGGGGTGGAGTGAGGAGAACGCGAAGACGACTCGTGCTCACGTGCAGATAGCCAATGCCGCTCCGGTTGTAGGTTTACGAATCAGTATCCGCGTTATATATAGTAATAAAATAAGAAGTCTATTTCATATTTTAATCTTAAGTTATCAAATCAAGTAAAAATAAAATAAAAGTAAAGAGTAACTAATATAAATACTTATAAAAACTAATATTATATATTATACATAACCTCGTACCTAAGTTGCCGGCAGGGTACCTGCAGGGTACCTCCAAATACCTACTACGCTGTATGCAGGTACCTGTACATTTGGATATCTTGAGCACCGCCTATCTCCTCATTAAGCGAGCCCCACTACTCGCTGCCCCCGTCCCTCCGCGATTTGAAAACTCGGGATAGATCGCGACGGTGCCTGCAAAAAATACCTGTGGGTACTTAGATGCCTGTGAGGTATAGACATGTACCGGTACCGCGGCTATGACGCCGGGTCTAGCCCCCGACCTGGTCAGTGCGGCGGCTAGTGCTGCGCGGTGGAACCTAAAAGCAAGCTAGCCTCCAGATGCCTCGCAGGGCAGGAGCTGCTGGTTCAGCGTCAGGAAGGCCCCTCCCTCGTGGCTCGCGCACAAAGACCAACCCGACCCAGCAGCTTACCGCTGTCTGTAATCGTCATCCATCATCAACCAACCTCATCATCCCCTCCCGTCTCCATCGCTTGCGACGAAGACCTCCTCCGGGATGGCTTCACCTCCTCCAAAGGACAATCATGGGACAGTCCCTCTCAGACGAGGCCAAGCCTCCCTCTAAGGAGGAAATCACTGCAGACCTAGTAATCAGTCCCCGCCCTGCTCACCGCGAGATGGCTGCCCGACTCGAGCTAACCTTCACCGGATCCCCGTAGGCTGAGAAGTTCGCGCGGAGGTGTTTCACGCCGCTGGAGCTGTACTCCCTCAAAGACAACTTCAAGTCCCTGGCCGACCACGAGCAGGATGTCCGCTTCCTTAGAGAGGAGACGATTGCTCGCTTCCTCGAGCTTCCCGATATCCTCGCCGCGTCTCCCGTCGTCTTCCACATGCTGACCTTCGTCGGCGCCTTTCCCTTCCTCCGGGACGCCCCCGTCATCCTTGGCTTCGAGCAGATGATCATGGTCGTGGTCATAATGACGGAACGGTATGCTAAGATACTAGCTAAAGGCGCTAGCAGCCGGCGGAAATTGCTGTTCAAGAGCCTGGCTGTATACGACCGCAAGCTATCCGAGATCGGAGAGGAGCATGGCGCCGCCGGTACGCCCGAGACGAACGCGGGCAGGCATGCGCCTGGCTTTGCCGTGGACGAGGCCGGTGACGAATTCGACGACGGGGCGGCGGATGACGACGAGCTTGTTTTGGCCGCCCTGGACTCTCTCGATATCTACGATGCTTTCAAGCTTTGTGATTCGCACGCCGCTACCACTCGTGGCGCCATGATCCCCGCCGACAATCTCAGGAAGTTGATTATGCTCCTTCTTTTGGTGTCGCCCCTGGACGCCCAAGAGAGCCTGTCCCGCTACGCGGACCGGGTTACGGGGTCGGAACTGGAAGACCTGAGAGCCACAGCTGAGAACATCCTCTCAGCTTTTATTGACGTAGAGAAGTCACCGGGCATTTCCTACTCCCAATTCGACCGTGTCCTCCCGTCCAACTTGCCTTTCCTTTTCGACGGCTTCAATCCCTTGTTCGAGCACTTCCTCTTTTCCAAGAATCTCGACCTTTCCAAACGCAAAGATGGCGCATCGATAGCCGTTGCTCCCCCAACGGTTGCCCAGCCTTCCCCTCTTCTGCAACAGCCGGGCCAGATTCTGAACGTCAATGTCTTGTCTCAGCTCTCGTTCTTTATTCGTGGAGACGAATTATTCCGACGGCTACGCCTGCTATACGCGGGGTCGGAGGCAGGATTCTCGATGGGCAGCTTCGAGGCCAAGGTTTTTAACTGGCGTGCTCCGACCATTCTTTTGGTGTCCGGGACTAGGCTTTCGAACTCCTCGGGGAGCGGTGGATCGGAAGGGGCGTTTAGCGACTCGCTGCCACCAAAGAGGTTCCCGGATGGAAGCGCTCCTGGCCGAGACCGCCTCGTGTTTGGCGCGATCGTGAGACAGCCCTGGAGACAGACCTACAAGGAGTGCTTCGGCGGCGAGGATATGCTCCTGTTCCAACTCGGCCCAACGCATGACGTCTTTCCAGCGTCGGCTCTCAACCGCAATTACGCGGCTTTCGTTAAACCGCCGACAATGAACCCGGGCATCGCCTTTGGCTGCCCGCACCCGAGAGCAAACCAGTCCCGGCGCGAATCGCTGCGGCACCTAGGGCCGGTGTCTCTCGTCATAGACTCCAGCTTCGAGTTTGGCGTGTTCACCCACGACTTCGTCTCTCGCGGTGGTGCGTTCACTACCAGCCCTCACCGGAAGTACAACTTTCAGGATCGCTTCCAGGTGGACGAGATCGAAGTGTGGGGGTGCGGCGGCGATGAGGAGGCTAGAATGCAGCGGGAGAGGTGGGAGTGGGAAACGCGGGAAGCTGAGGCGAGACGGAGGATTAATTTGGGAACGGGAGACATAGCTACGGACCGGGCGTTGCTTGAAATGGCCGGCTTGATCGGGGCTAATAGGAGTGGAGGATCGATGATGTCTTGACTCATTAGCGGCTCGGCCTCCCGACTTGTGGGATCTAGGCGTGCTTGCGATGCCTTTCGGGTGTTCCAGACCGTCCTGTACGGGTAGGCCCTATTGATTAGACGTGTTGGACAACAGAATTCGTTTTGTTCAGCTTCCTACCCCGGCTGCCTGATGGAACCGGCCCCTTTTAATAGTACATATAACAATCACGTTAAGCGTTTTGTTTGAATATGACCTGGGGAAGAGGCTGGGGGATTCCCGACGCCGTATCTCGTACGTCTTCCCCAAATCGATTCCTATCGGGATCAAGCTACCCGGAATGCTGCCTTCGCGTACTAACTCACAAAGGCTGCGTCCGGTCCCTTTCCGCTTCCTCATTTCCCCGTGCCGAGCCGGCTCCCAGATGTGTTGGACGCGTCCTTTTCCCGTGGTGAGGCCTGCACGTCGGTGTCAGAAGCGGTGTCGGCTTTCGGACCGTCTCCCCCTTTTACCTCCTTCTCCTTCTCCGTCCGCCTCTGCTCGACGCGGTCCTGGCGCCGCTTCATGGCGGCCTGGAGCTGCTTCTCCTCTTCGTCCCTGACCTCGAGCTCCTTCAGCCATTTCTGGTGACGTTCCTCGGCACGCTGCTGCGCCTCGAGCTTGATGAGCTCCTTCCTCTTCTCACGGTCTGCGCCGTAGTACGCGCCGCCGGCGACCATGGCGACGACTGTGAAGGCTTGCGCGCCGACACGAGCGCGGAACATGCGCTGGACTTGGACATGGTCGCCGCGGCGCGTGGCGCGAAAGGCGTTGTAGAGGGCCAGGCAAGTGAGTGCCGTGCCTTTCGGGCGGAAGAGGATTCGCAAAGAATCGGTTAGTCTAGTCAACGAAGACGGGGTCAAAGGAAGAAGACCCGAGTAAGCTGTGGCGATTTACCAAGCGGGATGAGAGGCTCTTCTCGCAGCTTGCGGCCGACCTTCTGGAGGCCGGTTTCATTGTACTCCCTAGAGCGGGCTGGTAAGCTGCACGTGCACCCAGGCCGACACCGAGACAGGGCGGGCGTGTGGGTCGCCTACTTGTCTTGGTCAAAAGACGAGGGCATAGATCGGTCTGTCATGTTTGGAGATCGGTTCCTACGGCGGGCGTCTTGCCAAGTGTTGAGGACCGGGCAGAGAAGTATACAGGCCCGGATCGGGGAATGAATGGCTAGCTGTGGTGGTTGGCGCCGGTCCGTTAAGGCGAACCTCGTAAACCTGATAATGTATCTTAAGTAAAAGAACATCCGTTAAAGCGCCTCCCCCTACGGAAGCCCATATCTACACTAGGGAAAACCCCGTTTTTGGAGGTGGACGCCCCACTTATAACGTGTAGGTACACGCCCCTATTAGGAGGAGTAATGTAGGTTTAGTACATGGCCCCGATAGTACGATATAGAAGTTATAAAACCCGATATATGTGTTTATCGGGGTTCGATTTTTTAAATATATATATATATAAAATTTAATTTAAAATAATATATATTTCTTAATAATTAACATTATAAGATTTTTTAAAAAAAGTTTTAAAAATTTAAATATATTAAATTTAAATCATTAATTAATAATTAAATAATTATACTATAATAATATAGTAATATATATCTTCTTAATATATTAAATAATATATTATAATAAGTTTTATATATATTTAAAGTAGTTTTAGTATTATTTAAATAAATTATTTTGTAATTATTCTTTAATTAAATTATTTATTTTATTATTTTCATTTTTATTTAAGATTTATTTTTACTTATTTTATATAATTATTTTAAGTATAAGTTTTTTTTTAATTTTTAATTTTTAATTTTTAATTTTTAATTTTTAATTTTTAATTTTTAATTTTTAATTTTTAATTTTTAATTTTTAATTTTTAATTTTTAATTTTTATTTTTTATTTTTTTATTTTTATTTTTTAATTTTTATTTTTTATTTTTTTATTTTTATTTTTTAATTATTAATTTTTTATTTTTAATTATTATATTATAGTAGTACGGTAAGATATACCCTCTTGATATATTACGTAATATGCTACGATAGGCCTTATGCCTATATAGAGTAACTATAGCTCCCGTAAGTACGGGCTATGCTATGTTTATTATTTAGTTTATTACCTAACTAGATTATTATCTTTATTATTTTTACCTTAATTAAAGATTTGTTTTTATTATTAGATTCGTCGTTTTCTGATTAGTATATTTATTTTAATTATAGGCGCTTAAGTTACTTCGTCGTACCGCTATAGCCGAATAAGTAACTTTTACGTTTTATCCCTTTTCTCCCCTTACTTCTTATACCTTCGGGCTAGCGATTATTATATCTCTACGACTAAAAGGCATAGCTAAGATACGATAACTACATTAGATTCCTTATCTTTCGATTAATATAGCGGTATTAGTTTTATTTATCTTAGACCATCGTACGAGCTATAGTCTTCGATAGAATATACTTTCCAGTAAACCTATCTAGGTTTTTAATATCGCATACGCTTTACTCCTCCTTAATAGCGACTACCTTATAACTTTTCGACCCCTTAACCTTTAGTCTATAGAGTTTTTATTACGCTATTAGGATTTAAAGGATACCGATCGCCGTCGGCGCCGCCATTTAACCCGCGAAGTAGTCTGCGTTTTACGTTAAATAAAATATCCCGCCTTATGGTTATTTATTTATTATAGGGAGGTACGTATAAGCCCGGGAACCTTTATTACGATATTATAGCCGCTAGAATATTACCTAGCCCTTAATACTTATAACGCTATTAAGCTATCGATATTACGATTTAATACGACGAATAAATAACGCTTATAGCGATTAACGTAAACCTCGTATAATCTTTTACTTATTTATAAGGAGGTATCCGTAAGCCTAAGAAACCTTTCGTTATAATACTAATTATTACTAGGGATAGTACTTAGCCCTCGATACTAACCGCTTCCTCGAACCGCTAATAGCATAGTATATCTCGCGCGCGTAAATAACGCTTATAACGATTAAGGTAACCTTCTTACGCCCGTCTATTTACTATATAGAAGACGTACGAACGCCTTAATATAAATTACGATAACCTATACGACCCGTTACTTCTTTATTAATACTAAGGGCAGATAAAGGCTAATAATAATTATACCTTAACCGACCTTACGATAGCTTCTTTTTCCCTTTAAACCTATTAATTAATATAAACTAAATATATAAATACTAATAACTTATTATACTAGAGGTATTTTAGGATACTTAGGCGTAGCGATTCGATAATATAATATACGATATAATATAAATATTAGTATTAATAATATAGATAAGATTAATAAACTAATAATTACTAGTAAATAATAGTTTTAAAGAGAATTAGGAATTAATATTAATAAAATTACGGAAATATAAAGGATTAAGGAAACGGAACTAAAGTCGAGCTAATAGGTATACCTATATATAAATTAGTCTTATATTATTAATTAATAGCTAGTATAGCGAAAAGTATTAATATAAGCGTAAAACGGCGCCTAGCGGTAATACCGTTAATACTATTAAATAGCTCCCGTTAAATCGAAACCGGCTTATAGCTATAACCAGTATCGTATATAACGCGATTCTCTACTCGGGATCTATTCCCTATACGTATTACCTTAACGAAGGTTATACGTTAAGAGTTCTAGACCTTAATAGAAGAAATTATCGTCGACTTATTTATAATAATTAAACTATTAGTTTAGGAAATACGTATCGTACTTTAATTAGGCGTTAGCCGATTAGAAAAGCTTATATAATACCTAAATCCTATCGATCGGGATAGTATAATAAATAATAATATACCTATGCTAAAGGAAAAGTATTAGGAAATAAATAATAGCTATCTTATCTTTACTCTTATGTTAGATAATAAAACCCCTACTATCTTCCTTTTTATTTTATACTTCGTATCGTTAAACTAAATAGAATCCGTAGCTAGGAAACGGAATAAATCGCTATCGGGGCCTAAAGTAATAAAGATTAAATTACTAATAAAGACCGTAAGAATCGATATTAATTCTCCGTTCTTATATCCGCCCGAAGAAGAGGAGGACGATAATAAAATTCCTACTTAGCTACCCCTTATCCGCGGCTCTATACTTATCTCGTTAATCCCTATAATATTATCTTAGAATAATAATAACAGGGCCTCTAATAATTAAAATATACCGGTAGCTATCCCGATTATCGTAATACTAGCCATTAGATTCCTTAACCCTACCGATTACCTTAGGCTTAAGTTTAATAAATATAACGTAACTTAATAACTAAAGAAGGTAGATCGATTATTTAACCGCTACCGTATAAGCGACGACGATAAGATTAAGAAGATCGGCGAATAAACTACGATTAAGATTATTAAGAAGCGTATTAACGACGTTACGAAGGATTAAATAATCTAAAGGGTTATCGTTATAGCCTTAAAGTACCGTTTTAAGATTACCGATAAACTAAACTAAGCTAATATTAAACGTAAACTCGTATAATTAAAACGAGGTAACGTAATTAACGATCCTAAGGCGATCTTTACGTATCTTATAAACTATAAACGTCTTTCTAAGCTCGTAAACGATAACGGAAAGCTTCCCTAGAAAGTAAGATACCTAATTAATAAACTCTGGATATTATTAATTATAAAGTTCTATAAAACGGAAGACTATAACTATAATAAGATCGGAAATATCGACTACCGGACTCTTTATACCTAGCTTTATAAGTAAGCGGAACGTCGTATAATAATATAAATTACCGATAAGGCCTAAACCGAAAAACGTCGATAGTAAAAAACGATAACTTTCGAAGAACCCGAGAAGCCTATAATATAAATAATTTAACGATTAACGACTCCTAGCCTTTAAATGCCTTTACTACCGCCTTCTTCGTAACCTAAATCCTCTTACGGCTACCTAAGTACTAGTTAAGAAGCTAGTATATAAGCCCTCCACGACCGACTTAACGCTCTAAAGATAAAGATAACTTCGTAGAACTACCGTTAGAAAAGTAGCTTTTATAGCCCGAGGAATACGTATAGCGCCGATTAATAATATTAATAAGAAAACCCGTTCTTAATAAACGCGGTTCGGAACTTAAGTCTTCATAACCTATAAATTAACGGAAGAACCCTAATAAACTTTAAACGTAATACCATACTAAACTACTAAGGCATACGTAATAAGATTTTATTAACCTAATCGAATAATTATAAGGAATTCGAATATTAATTTTATAATACTTTCGATCGGCTTTATAACTATATCCGTTATCCGCTACTAATAAATATAACCTAGAATCGGTTTTACTATAGGAATAAAAAGCGACTATACTACTTCGAGAACGGAAACCCGGATAAGCTAGAGTTAATACTAATCCTAAGATCGATTATTACCTAAGCTAAGCGTAAAGAAGAACCGATCGCTTATTATATCTTATTTTACGTATATTAAAGTAAGGAATCTCTAAAGTAAGTACGTAGGGTAGTATATTACTATCTAGCTAGGAAGCTAAAGCTTATATCCTTCGACTTACGATACTTTAAGAACGAGGAAGGAATATTAAAGTAGGAAAAGATCCTTAGAGCTATATCGGAAATTAACGTTATTAAAATAATCGAACGTAAATATAACTACGAATTATACGAAACTAAGATCTTAGGTTATAATTAAACGAAAGGTCTTATTAACGACGAAGGTATTTATTATTATAAGGATATTATTAAGACGAACTTAATCGAAGTTAACGTAGTTAAGCGAGCCAAAGGTCCTAACGGCGAATATATCGAAAAAGAAGTACCCGATTAAGAGGATATAAAAGTACTATCGTTATAACCTAAGCGTAAACCGACTAAAGCCGGTAAGAACGCTACTTCGAATACGAACGACCTAGCTAGAAAAACGAAAACTATTAATAAGTTATTAAGAAAGTTTTAGCTAAATAAAATTAATAAAAATAATAAGAAACGCTTCGAGGTTTCGTAGGACGACCTAATTAAGTTTATACCTAGGTTTTCGGAATAGGTAATTAAGTACCTTACGATACGCGTTATAAAGATTAACGAAGGTTAGCCTAAGGTTATTAAGATTATAAAGGAATAAGTATAAAAGAATTAAGAAGAAAGCATTAAAATATCTAACGTACCGTAAACTACCGCCCCGTTTACCGACCCTTCGAATAAAATAACGGTAAATTCTATTATCGCGAAGGATATTAAAAACTATATCCGGCCTTTCCCTAAGCTAGTAATTAACGTAAGA